CATTATTTACTGAATACTACCTTTAAAAAAAATTGCCACACATATTTTGCACATTTTGTTCATACGTATACACACTGACTATGTACCAGTATCCTTCTGTCTTTTGTGTATTCTATATTTATTGTCTACTAACTATGTAATTTTTTGTACTTTTGTACTAAGACCATTCAATCTCCAGTGTTTTACCTCTATTACTGTAAATTAAGATTATCACCACTTAACACTGACGCAGCTTGACCCAGCCACAGAAACAGATTAGAGCACTTAGAGCACATAATTTTGTGAGTCTTTCCCCCCACAACTCTATACACAGAACAATTATTAGGAGATTTTAAGAACAAGTGTGGAGTTAGAGCCCTTGTAACGTTAGTTGCACAAACATTTATGGTTCATTCAAAAAAAAAAAAGCAAGGTTATTTTATCTCATTACTGTTAGAGTAGCTAGCCAGCTATGTCATCATGCAACATTCTAAGCAAGTCATGATAGCTGTTCCTGAACTAAATTTTTGCATATGAAATACAAACATAATATGCAAGAGTGGCAAATCTGTTAATAAACATACGTTTTTATAACAATTTGTTTTGGACAATCTAAGCCATGTGTCAAACACAAGGCCTGCGTCACAATCCTATCCGGCCCGCCAAAGTATTTTGATTATTTTAATAATATTAGCTTGTTTCACAATGCACTACAATCTGCAGCATGCACTGCAACATAATGTCCACTGCAACTCTCCTACTTCAACAACAATCTATGGGACAGCAGTAACACCTCAGTTATACGCAATTCTACACCGTTCCACACCAGTCGTATCACCAAACAACTAATTGCAGTTCAGCCAAAATAAAAACAATGTTAGCTCAGCAGCTCATAAATTGAGCCCAAGTATTAAAGAACTTACAGCAAAGAAAAGATGCCAGGTGTCTAGTTCAAGCAAATAGAGCTCCTGGGGACATTTAAATTTTGATTATTTCAAGTATTCATGTAACATTTCAAGGTCTACTACAAGTATGTAATATTTTACAGCTGACATTTTGGGATATTTTGAATAAATAATGGTCAGTTCAGTTTATAGCAAAATGTTAGATAGATGTTCTCTGGCCAACGGATTTGTTGAGATTTTTTTTTATATGGCCCATTTAGTGGTTAAGTTTGACACCCCTGATATAAGTAATAGCAAAGACAGTGTAGATAAGAACAAAAACACTCCCCTTTCCAGTACTGCCAGACATACCTACCCAGCCACTGGGTCACAAAAACCTAAGAGAAATATGTTGATGTGGCTTGGACTAGAGGGAGAGGGGACTCATTCACCTCTTTTTCAGACAACAGAAACTTGAGTCCCACTCACACCAGTGAGAAATTCCGCCCATTTCACTAAATTTTAGCAATTATTTTTACCCATTCATGATTACAGCCAACTTCTCAAAGTTTTTGCGATTGTCTACTTTGATCCAAAACATGCATTTTCTGATGAGCTGAGTTTAACTCCTTAAATGGCCATGGTCAGCTGGTGTGTAATAATTATTACACACTTCTATAACCTAAGAACAGCTCAGCCAGTTTGCATTGGAGTCCCCGCAGTTACTGAATAATATAAGTATGTAATAAGCCTAGGATTTTAAAGGGTTAAGAAAAAAAACAGCTACCATCATGGAAATATAGGTATGCTTGCAGTTTTTCTTCCAAATAACTCACAGATTTCACTCCAAAAAAAAACATTTGATTCACTCCAAAAACAGCTGAAATTGTATTTTGTATATCTATTCAAAAAAAAAAACAAAAAAACTTTAGGACAAACATTTAGCACAGTCATGAGCAATATCATCATCTACAGTGACTGTGACACAGTCCTATTTGGCCCGCAAAATTATTTTAATTTTCTATTCTTATTAGCCTGTTTCACCCTGAGATGCACTACAGTCCCCAGCATGCAGCTGCGTCTCCATTTTTTGTCGTTTCTCAGTTTTTGACATAATTTGAAAATGCCTGTTACTTTTCACATTGTTTGTACATTTCATGATGAATGGACCATAAGAAATTGCCCAAAATGACTTGGAAAAAATTCTGGTTCCACTGACTTATATTAAAAGTAAGTCAATTTTTTGCTTCTCCTATAAAGTTATCATTTTGGAGATACAAGTTTTGTTCCAACAACAGCGACAGGAAGCTCAGAAAGCATGAGATACGATGACACTGATTTGTTTGAAATTATCATGATATTCTGAATTTTATCAGTATCACACAGTGACACAATTAAGCTGTTCTGAAAGGAAAAAAGACCTACACTATTTAAACATTAAAACATCACAGGCACTCATGACTAATAAGTCAGAATTCAGTTTAAAAAGAATGACTGCAAATAATTTTTGACTAGGGGTGCCGGAAAAAATCGATTCTTAGATGCATCGCGATGCGGACGTGAATGATTCTGAATCGATTCACAAATGTCAAAAATCGATTTTCGAAATATTTAATTTATAACGTAATGTTGGCGGAATGCAAAAGGCGGAAATGCGGAAGTGCAGTCTGTGGAGGCACATAACAGAAACACACACAGATGAGTGAGAAAGACCAGCACCCTCTGCATTAAAAGCCAGGTTAGATCAGGAGTCACAACCCAAATGTTAAGAAGAGCCATTTTGTCCTTTCAACAAAAATCAGACCACCTTGGCAGCCCCAACATTTATGTCCAGTATGTCTCAGTATGTGCGAATGTCCTAGTATAAGTTAGGTTAAAAATATCAACGAAAGCATGGACTTACTCTGTTCTGCTTTAAGCTTTAGCTATAGCCGCTTTCCTCCCATCTCTGCCAGAAAACTTTTCTTCAGAAGTAGATCAGTTTCTCGTAAAATGTCAAATGTTCAACTGTTTTCCGAGGCTGAAGTCGCTTCTCATTCTCCAGCTTCTTGTTCAATTTTCCCGTTCCACCTTAAATTCTGCCTGAGGCGCTGAATGTAAATGTGGCACCATTTAAAGTGGAACGGGAAAATTCGAAAGAGAAGCTGACGTAATCTTCACAACTTTTGTGTTCGACAGTCTCTTGTTGCAGATTTAATTTACCAGGATTCAACTGCGCTGCTTATAAATGTGAATAACGCATCATTGCTAGGTGACCTGCAGTCTGCCAGTTCTCAGTCGTTGAGAAACAGGGCTTTCACGCTATGCTGCACACGACCCTTCTCAAAGATATTTTACTGACACAGCGGACCCCCCTTCCTGTCTCTACAATGAACGAGACCAAAACCGAAGTTATAAAATCACTGAATTAAACGGGTAGGACGGCTGTAACGTGCTGCGTGGACATCTATTGCCACTGGATCTTATGTCACCATAACAGCGCATTTTACCGCAGATGAGTGGCAGCAGCGTCTCATGTGCACCAAACAAGAGCAGTGAATGAGAGCCTTCCAGTTCACTTACCGCATCACTTCCATTTGATTTATTAATAAAAGGTATTGAAAGTAAATTCATTATGGATCATTACGAATACTTTGCTTTAAAAGTACCAAGTCCTGACACAGTGAGAAAATAGAAATCCTGTATAGAAAAAAAGAATCGAATCGTGAGGTGTCTAGAGATTCCCACCCCTATTTTTGACCCATCTGCAGGCATCTGCACCAGGTTTAACACTCTAACCTCATAGAACGGGTCTGTTATTTTACTTCAAAATTACATCAAGTGCCAGTCGATGTTCCATAAATTCAGAGCCTGTGTATTTTGTTTTGCCCAGTCAACAGCAACTAAATAACTAAAGCAAACAAAACTAAACATCTGTCAAGAACAGGTTAATTAAAGCAAAATTTTTAGTCCACTAGGATAACACAGCGTAGCTTAACTGTAGCTATGTGTGTCCTATGTTTTAATGTTTATCCACAATCCACTTCTGAAAGTGGCTCCAAATCTAGATAAATGCTTGGTTTAACAGGTCCTATATGGCTCCATAATTTTGGTGCTCCATTTGTCAAGAGACCATCTAAGTTCAACGTTATAGCTTTTAATAATGTGACTTTTAAATCCTGTCAAAAAACTGACACTTTAAGCTTTATTACGCACACTCAGAACTTCGCGCACATGCAGTGTACATATGCCTAAACTTGCAAAAAAATTGACACTCACATGTGGATATACATGCTGTGTTTAGGGGGAGGAGGAAGACATTATCCTATCCTAAAGAATTTATGGAACCAACATGAAAACGTAAAAATTTTTTGCTCTAATGACCACTGAGAATTGCTCAGATGACCACTGAAAATTGCTATGACATTATTCATCAGTCAGTCATGCATACATCTGCTAACGCTAGAGCTAACATATTAAGGTTAGATGAGAAGCAGTACTCATTCTATACGAAAGTAGAATTATTTACTGCTCAGTGAATGATGTGGAAAAATGTTGGCTTGTCAAGGTGACAGTGAACAGAGAAACATCTTTTCAGCCATCATGGTTAGTTGCAAAGTTATTTCAAACTTCTCAGTCATGTCTGACATGCAAAAGCACTTGTGCTTCATGTCATGTTAGCAAAATAAAATATTATAGCATAATAAAACACTACACTGAGAGAGAAGGCACTGAACTGTCAATTTATTAGGCACACGCCTTGCACTTCTCACAGGTAACGTAAAGATGTAGCTATAGTACCGTGGAATAAACATTTGTACGTATTTGTCAAATTTTGTGAGCGTCAACTTTTAACATCTAGAGTTTTACATGTGAGACTTTTTCATTATTTTCTCATCACATTTTTTCGACAAATGCTAATAAATACTTTGGAAAGTTGTGTTTGTCTAGGCAGCTTTATAAGATGATTAAGTTGAATTGCAAGTTGGCTTTGTCAAACCAATAAAGACAACATATTCTGTGAATTTTGTAATAAAAAAATGTAAGAAAGTAACATAATAGTCAATAATAACTACATTTGTGAACCTAATTCAAAGCACTATTTAAATAGAAAAAGAAAGAGCTTTAGAATGTATATATCCATTAAAATGGGTTTACCTTCAGGTTCATATTTCATCCGTAGTTCCTCAAGTTTCACCTGCAGCTTGATATTGTCACTTTGAACTTGCTTCAAAGCATTCTCTACTCCAAAGAGTTTCCGCTCTAACTCAAGCACTCTGTGACTCTCAGAAAGAGCTTTCAGTCTTGCCATGGACAACTCATCTTTCAATGTCTCTGCGACTTTCCTATCAAGAAAATACACACACACAAACACACAGGCACACACACACACACACACACATAAATCAGTGTTAATTTGGCAACAGCAAGACTAAAGTAGATCTGGGCGATACAGCCAAAGACCAGCTAGCAGACGTCTGGATTTCTCTATTCTATTGTAGTAGTTTAAGGGGTAAACCGCAATATATCTAACAACAGTCAGTCCTCCTTTTAGAAATGTTTAAAGTGAAAGTGGTGCTTTTGTATCTTGTTTGATCTACAGTATCATCAATTTGCGGTGTTGTACGAGTGACGGAGCGCTGCTTCAAGTTAGCCAGCTGCTAAAAACAGCTAGCCTGGGAAGATGACGTTCTCCCACTTTCCAATGCCTCACAGCCTTCCTCAGTTTACTTTCATTTAAATCATGCAAGTTAGGGCTGTAACCCACTTCTTTCTTTCACTTTCGTTGCTTGGGAATGCACTAATACTTAAAGATGACTTTTTGAGCGCTGTAACAGTGCTTTAGTTGTGAGGAGCAGATGTGATTTAATGCTGCTAAAGCTTGTTAGGATGTACGGAAAGAGGCGAGTTCACTTTAGGACAGTACAGTTATGCCACTTATCTTGTCACTCACACTTGATCACAGGAGATCAGATCTCCGGTCGCTCTGCTCAAACAGGGAATGTATAACTCCACATTTCAGCTGTTGCTAAAGACTCATTTTACTCGTCTCCCCCTCCCTCTCCAATCATGTCGAAAAATTCAGAAGTGCGCCCTCTCCTGGCGACAGCAGAGTAGTGTTGTTTACCTTGCAGTAGAACATGCCACCAGGGCTTTCGCTGGAACGTGCAAGTGTGAGAATGATGTATTATATCGAAAATTTATCGAACATTTCTTATCGCTCTATCAAGGAAAAGTATATTGCGATATATATTGTTCGTTATTGATCGTTATATGTTTTATCGCCCAGTCCTAGACTAAAGACAAATAAAATTTAAAATACAGCTAGAGTTCGGGCATGAATCAGCACAAAGAGGCCTAATGTGCTAGTACGGAGCCTTTTCACAAAAAGAAGACAACTGATGGTGGGTACAGTAGCCAAAAAACTACACTAAAGTAAGAGTAATGTTACTTTAAAATAATAATGACTTAAATAGAAGTAGTCATCTAAATAACTAAAGTAAAAGTAAAAACATATCTAATAAAATAACTATTCAAATAGCGAGTTACTTCAAAGAATCTGATTATTAATTATGTAGTCTGCACACATCAGCACCAGCTCACAAAAAATATCCATTTAAATACACCATACCAAAATAAAGAAAGTACAAAATAGGCAATCACATTTGCACTTCAACTTTGCACTCAACTTTGTTTTTTGGAAATGCTAGAAAAAAATGATTTCTGTCTTCTCATCAATTTGGAACACTGAGATGGAGTTAAATGTAACAATGAACAGCTGGGAGGGGATTAGGTTCACAGCGAGAGGGGAGGCAATGATCTTATTAGGCTACCAAAGTTTCTCAGTGATTTAGGTCCATCCAAATCTGCAATGTCAGCAACTTTTTATGTAATTTTTATAGTATTTAGTAGAGATGAAACGATATTAAAATTTCATATCACGATTATCATGACCAAAATTATCACGATTATCAGTATTATCGCGACATTGTTGTTGTGTTGAAAAGTAAAATAAATAAAAAAATAAATACTGATACACAAACTGAAACTCGTTTCACCAACTTTTGTATTAACACAAATAGAATTGGCAGCAGTATGCACTTTTTGTTTGCATAAACATTAAAAAATAAGGTCAATACAATTTTAGTATTACTTTTGTATTACTTACAATACTTGTAATACTCTGTAAACAAAAGAATAGCAAATGTATTATTATTACTGATATTATTACTATTCTTATTCTTATTATTATTACTGTTGTAATTATTATTATTATTATTAGTAGTAGTAGTAGTAGTAGTAGTAATTACAATAATTAGGGATTTCCTTGCATAGAGAATTAAATCTCAACCAACTCTGAGGTGGGTCTTAATGGAAAATTACTACTTCTAAGAAGTGCTGCACTTGGGGGATTTCTGTCCGAACTGCAACTGCAGCATTACTGTGCCGTTGTGGCGCTGTACCCCTAATCAATACAGTGCACTAGGAAAAACAGCCAAAATCACAGAGGAACTGCATGACCGTGCTGTGAGCTGCAGACAGTGTAGAACTCACACAGTGTGTCTTCACCTGTGGAGCTGCTTCTCTAAAAGCATTTTAAAACTAAAACATAACTTAAAATTAACGCGCATCTGAGCTGCAGCAGAAACACTCCTAAAGTTTAATCTCTGAAACTCTGCTTTTCCTAAAAGCAGCACACATCGTTTACTCACGAGGTCCCGTCTCAAAGCACACTATCTTCCCTATGTAGTGCACTTCGTGGATCATGAAATAGCAAATCCTTCACCCAAAGAGTGCAAGAAACGTTCGAGTCAGTCATCTATAATCAACGTTAACAACAGGTTACAAATTCCCTATTTAAAACTCAACTGCTGGTTAATGATGATCGTGTTTGAACAGTAGCGCACTATGTAGGGGACACTGAGTGATATGAGATGGTGTTATTCGCTTCTCAGACAGTAAACACTGCACACGAGACGAGAAAGGGGAGCTGTGCAGATTGAACCTCTGCAGCGTCTCGTTCTAGAGCTCGTGTGACTGTTAACTCAGAGCTCATTTTGGAGACACTGCTCCACAGAAATGTGTGTTACAAGCTTTAGTTTCGATTCACAGTTGATTCACCGATTGTTTTTTGTTTTTTTTTTGTTTTTTTTTTTGATGCTAAAAGCTTCATTTAACATTATTAACGAACCATAAGCAAAAGTTAAACCACACAAACCGTGACATTTCTTCTATTTCGAAGTCTCCACAGACTTCTCCGTTAAAGTTAACCTTGCATTCTTGCAGGTAGCGGGTGGTGGTCGCGAAGATGACTCGTAAGGTTTGATGTGTTGCCCCCTTTCACCACTATTTTCTTTCGGCATGTTCTGCAGACAGGGTGGTCATCTGCAGACAGGGTGGTCATCTTCAATTAGCTTTCCTTCTGCATCCTTATAAAACCCAAAATATGACCAAACGTCAGACTTGGTCTTCTTAGAACCGCGGTTTTAACGATACTGTAAAGTTCAAACGGTACTACTGACTCTAGTATTTAGCAGAGGAATGTAGAAAGAGTCAGTTCACAACTTTGAGTACCCAGAAAACAAAGACTGTACAGAGTTTGACATCCCTCAATGTAATATAATGTAGCACTTGATCAGTGGAGCCACCTAATATACAGTTGTGGTGGAGACCGAGTGCTGTGACTCACAGTGAAGAAGCGAGATATGCTTGTCTCAGCCTGAGGAGCAGTAGCAGTGTGTCTACCTCTTTAATTTGGCTTGCTAACGGGACTTCTCCGGTGTTTGGATGTCAAAGTTACAAATTAAATATGGTATGTATTTATATTGTATTTACACAAATTGGTTACATAAAATATATTATCTTAAATATTTTATCCGCAGGCATCCTGCATTCCCTGCCCACGTGCTCAGTTTCTGTTTTCATTCAATTAAATTACTGATTTTTAATATATTTTTTTCAGTCAAGTAAACAGTTCATACTTACTTTGAATTTGAGAGCTGCATTTTCAATAGGTCTGTGTAGTATGTCTCATCCACAAACTCAGTCGGCTTGGAAGTGCCAGTGGAGGACTGGTCCTCAAGTGTCGCCTGCTGATAAACATATCAAAGCTTCTGTTTCACTACCCACATATTCACATGTAACACATAAAACTGTCTTGAACAAAACTTTACCTCTACCTTCTCCAGCTGTTGTACTTTCCTCATCAAGGTTTCTATCTCACTGTTCTTCTCTGACAACATAAACTGTAGGCGCTCAAGCTGGGCTGGGTCAGCTCTAGCACCCTGAAGCTGCATAAGGTTAGATATCTGCACCTGTACAACATAAAGAGGGCAAAAAAATAAACAAAAATTCCAGATTCTCTGTTTTAAACAAATTAACTTTTTTCAAAATACCTTCATGCGAAGCATCTGTTGTTTGGTGAAAGCATGCTGCTTTTGAAGAGACTGGTACTGCACTTTCGTGCTGATCAACTGCCTCTCCATTTCCACACGCCTGTCCTCTACCTACAAAAAATGCACTTTTTACCTCAAATCACAACAGACAATTTATTAAGTGAGCCGAAAACTTTTAATAATACTGAAGTGTATACCTCAGAGAATAAGGAATTGCCTTTGCTGTTTGGATCTTGTGTCTGCTGCAATGCCTGTTCCAACTGAATCTGAATGTCTTGGTTGGCTTCCCTGGATTTCTATATGAGATATGAGATCAATATATGTGACTAATGCATTCTGATGATAACAAAATCTTAGCCTTAACCCTGCAGGCATATTTAGAATGGAAATTTTTTTGTCAAGAGCCAAGGACCTAGGCAGTGTGTAATTCTGAGCCATGGTGCAAAGGTAGCGAGGAGCTGAGCTCTTGGAAATGGAGCTCTTGGAAACCTGGAATGTGAGAGCTTCATATCTGATTCTTGCTTCTACAGGAAGCCAGCGCAATGATCTGAGCAGAGCAATTGAAAGGGAGAACTTCAGGAGGTTGTGGACCAGAAAAAAGGTCAGACACTATGTGTTCTCATAAATGGGAGACTAAAAACTGGTTTTGCAGTTTTTCATCACATATATGATGTGAAAAAATAAGTTAATAGTCCAGGATAAAGTTTTCAGACCTTCATGACAAAAGAATGGTGAAGAAGTGAATAGTCATAGAGAGGTTAATCAGAATAATTATAATGTAGTTGGGTGTATAATGCAGTGAATTGTTCTTAATAAACTGATAGACTATAAATCCATAAATCTCAATAAGAATGACCGATTATTTGTATTTGACTAACTAAATGGTTAATTATTCAAATGGTACAAATTCTTAATATGTACATATTATATAATTATTAACAGTCAATAACAAAATATTAGAAAATGATTAAGTTGCTGTTTATTAGGGCTTGTTTCTATAAAGTGTTACTGATAACATCTCTCACAGTAATGATGAGGTGAACCTTATCATGACGAGTTCAACCTTATCTGCCTACACTGATCTGTACACAGCACTGCAGCCCTCAAGTCAGTTGTGTTGTGCAAGTTCAGCAAAGCCTGTACGCTGTGTAGTTTTCCAATCATAGAAAAAATCTCATGCGGTTAAGCAGCAACACTCAGCTAATTAGCTTCTATGTGCATGAGCAGCAGTAGTTCACTACTCTACAAAGTATCCACATGTCTAGCATGTTCTTGGCCAATTCTGACAAAATGGATGTTATTTTGCTAACTTACAATCATCTGCACCTGGCCAATGTTTTGCAAATGAACACTGCCTGAACGCTAAAGATTAATTGAAAGCAAAAGATGATTTGAAGCAGGTGATTAGCAGGTGTTCTCTCTAGAGCCTTTTTATGTATGCAGCAGGTTTCCCATCAGCGTTAACTACTAAAGCATTACACAGTACAACTCACAACTGAGAGTGAGTCCATGCAGTCAGGTAGGCCAAGGCATAAGATGGAAGCAGCATAACACTACCAAGAAGTGAAGTGTCAAGGCTACTTTATAGTGTGCAATAGTGATATTAATTCGGTCATTCATTCATTCATTATAAATTAGCACTTGTTACATGCTATTTTGAGGGGCATTTTTTGCCCTATCATTTGTGTCTAAAGGAGGGTTTTGCCCTTAATTACCATTTTCCTGATAATGTCTGATGCTGTATGAAAAATGAAGAATGCTATTTGGAATAAAGTTAAAAATGCTCCAACTAGCATATTGCATTCTGTATATTTGAACACTTGTTAGTACACTTTAGTTTAGCTTTAGTTTTGCTTTGCTTTTCTAGCCAGCAAACTTTCTGTGTGAGTTTTATTGGACTTTCAGATCTTGCCTCGACACAGTTCCCTTAAACTGCCATTTCCTAATGGTATTTCGAAAAGAGGAAATTTAATTTCATAGTTTCCCCTGCTTTGTAGGCATCAGTTAGCTTCATTTTTGGATACTCAGCCAGTTGCCTAGAGAGCCCTTTTTTGAGTCAGAGAATTTATTCCACTCATCAGATGACAATTCCTAATGACAATTCTTGACCTGCTTAACCAGTCCTAGTGAGTCAACAATTACGGTCTGAGACTTTACAACTATAAGGGTATCCAAACTTTTGCACATGCCACAATTAATACATACTTTTCTATTTTTAGCAATAATATTTTCAGAAAATTGATATTTTCAGAATATTGCAGAGATTTTGTTTACTTATTTTTACTAATAAAAAACATGCATTTAGGCCAAGGGTGCCCAAGCTTTATAAAGTAAAAAATACAAATACATACAATTTACATAAACATGCCCTAAATCATTGCAGCTCGTTTACAGTTTAAATCTGGCCATAAAAGCTTATTAATAGCTTACCTCCAAAGCATTGTACAGCGACTCAACTTCTTTCTCTTTTTCTTCCTTAAGGCTTGTCATTGCCTCCAGCTGCCTCTGGATGATGGTAATGGTCAGCTGAAGCTGCTGCCCTTTGTAGTCTGACTCCTGAAGCTCCCGCTTTAAGGTAGTCTATAAAATAGATAAATAAATAAATACTTCTGAACTCTTACTCCAAATGTTTTGTACTACACTGTTTCCCTGTATATCTGTCTGAAAAGATTTAATATGTAACAAATCAAGCTTTACGCTAATTTCGAAACACAAGTACAGTAATACTATGCTCATTGTAGAGAATCACTTAGGTACTGTTCATAGTTTATCTACAAAAAACTAAATTTAAGACGAGCATCTAGTAGGTTAACATGGTCAAACCACTTAAACACACTGAAATAAACTGCCCTGCTGGAAGAAATGCACAGCATACTAACAACACTACGTTACACAATGTGAATGTGAGTGGTACATCATGCTACTTTTGTTACAGGATTAGACTGGATTCATTGTTTTTCCCCCTCAGATAACCAGTCCAGTATTTTCTGTTGATATTGGCCCAAAACCAATTTCTGGTAGGGTCAATGCCATTTTAGTTTTTCCTGTTTATTCCAGACAAAATTTACAAAATGTAATTTGTTAAAGCAAAAACCTGACAGTCTGAAGCCTCAAACATTTTCAATTCAATTTAATTCAAATTGATTTGTTTGGCACTTTTTGCAATAGATAATAGTCAAAAAACAGCTTTACAGGAATCCTGATACAAGCCCTTAGAGCAAGTATTCACCAGTTGTTATTATCCAGTGTAAGATTTCACCAGTTTCACCAGATTCTGTAGCATTTTTACTCAAAAAAAAAAAAAAATCAGAGCATAAAACAGAGTTCCTACTCCTTTCATTCACTGTGATCAGCGACTACAGAGCATATTGTGCAACGAGACCATATAGGAAATGTTGGACACTTAAGCTTGATCCCCTGTATATATTAATTTGTGTATATCTCTGACGAAACTCATTACTAACTTCATTTTCAAGAAGTAAAGAGTTAAACTAGTTAAGTTTGCATTTGTCAAGCCACTTCTGGGACAGTGGCATATTACATTTTAAAAACAGATACTTAAAAAAAATTCAGTGGTAAGTGAGATGACAACAATATGATGCAAATCATGTTAAGGCTACAAACAAGTAAAAGTAGATTTAAGGTTCATAAATGTGATGTATATTGAAATGGAAATATGTGAAGCAAAAATCTTTAAATGAACTTCAAATAATTTTTAATATTTTACTGAAAGATAATTTAACATACTGGGTTTATGGGATGGGGTATTACAGGTAAACTGGGACAATTACTTAAATCATTTAAAGGGTGTTTATAAAAGGGTCCCTTTTATAATGTTAATTTTGAATCAACAATACTTCATTATTTATTCTGGCATACATTTTCTTATTGAAATAATGCATAACATTTAAAAATGTATTCCAAATATTAAAACAAATACAAACAGGGGTGAAAAAAGATGGCAGACAGCAAAAAAACTTGGAATCAGCAGAGTGAGAAGAGGATGTGTGACATTATAAAAGAGTACAGGCCACAAGAAACAGCAAGAATAACAGCAAATCTAAGGATGATGATAAGAGTGTGGAATGCACTATAGAACTCCCTACAGAAAAGGGTCCCTAGGCATGCCTCTGGTAGAAAGCCCAGGTAATCGAAAGAGACTGAGATGGAATTGGCTGTTACTGAAAACACAGAGGTTTTCCTCTGTTAAGAAGGTAATCAGAAGAGACTGAGATGGAATTGGCTGTTACTAAAAACACAGAGGTTTTCCTCTGTTAGAAAGATCAAGAAGCTCATGTTTGAATTTGCTGCAACAAATTATTTGCATGTGTTCAACAATTTCTTGTATATACACCTAGATATCATTCAGAGAAAGCCAGAGGCCTTTTATTTGCTTCCCATTTTGTGACAACAGTTTGGGGAAAGCCCTTTCCTGTTCTAGCGTTAGCGGAGGAACAAAACCCCTAAAAGGTTTTTGAGAGACCCCACCCCAAGGCAGAACAAAACAAAAGCATGTTTTATATAAAACTGATATCTCTAGTTTGTGAAATGGATGGTAGTATAAGTATTACATAAACATTAATATTAGGATGCTCCACAAAACCACAAAATGTGCAAATTTACACCTGACTTACAGGCAGTGTGTCTACATTTATACCTAAATGCAAAAATAAAAATCAGAATGTGATCAAATTTAAGTGTGTACAAACAAATACTCTGTGATGAAGGAAAACACATTTATATCTTTGTTCATATTGTAGTGTTCACCTCTATCTAAAGAGACACAGCTTTCACACAAGTCATGGAGCTTTATTAACCAGATATTGTTGGCCACAACCACGCCATACATAAGCTTTGGTTTTCTCTAATAGTTCATTCTAGCCTCAGCTCACATCTTTTTTCTTCAGCTCTCAGTTCTTGTCTGACTCGCAGTCCTTTCAGCTCTCACATATATCCCCCAACGTGGACTAGCTCCCGCCTCGTCGATAAGAGTCCTTATCAGAACAGCTGCACTCCGCCTTCCCTGATGTTCTCTGCATCATCAACGCTGACGAGGATGTCGCTCATGTGCATCGCCAATGAAAAGCTGTGACAGGTGGATGCACAAGAACAGTGCCAACTGTGAGGTGTGGTGGAGGACGAATAATTGCCTGGGGAATTTTTTTTCTTAGTTCCACGGAAGGAAATTTTTATGTTATAGTATAAAATCAAATTCTAGAGAAACTAGTTTGGGGAAACACTTTTTCCTGTTTCTGTAGGACATCTCTGCGCACAAAGCAAGCTTCATAAAGAAACAGTTTATTAAGTTTGGTATGTAAGAACTTGATTGCTCTGCACAGAGCCCTGACCTAAACCCCATCCAACATCTTTGGGATTAACTCATTGCCCAATGTCAGTACCTGACCTCAACTTATGCTCTTGTGGCTGAATGAAGGCAAATCTCTGCAGCCATGGTCCAAAATGTAGTGTAAACTGTTCCAAGAAGAACAGCAGCAGTGAGAGGAAAGCATGAGCTCACTTGAGCAGCAGCAGCGGCATCTACAAGCTCCAGCTTGTCTCTGCGGCTTCAGTTGGCCAGCACAGCGCTCTTCTTACACAGATCAGTTTTTTTTATTTGTTATGTGGCAAATTAAACAGATGAATAGAAAAGGAAAATGACTTTCAGAAAGGTTTGATTATTCACAGCAGGGAAACAAATGAACACAACATTGTTTTTTTTTTTTTGCTCTGTCAGCTCCTTCTCCTCTCACAAGAGTGTTGCAGGTCTCCTCACAAAGAGACAGCAACTCCTCAGAGTGGGCAGCATGATTTGAAAATCAGTGGCTTTCCCTGCACTACCATATTTTAACACTCCTTTGTTTCTCTGTAGCTCTAGCTCTGTGTTATCCTGACCATCTAGGTTCCATTTGTAACGCTGCCTTCTCATTACTGTTCCCGTCTGTGCTTAATTTCAATGTATTTATACTCCTTTGCTTGCCATTACTAAGTTAATACAGGTTGCATGACCGCTCAATTAATCAAAGAACTGAAGTAAAAGTCTCTTTTACCCATCATAAAGGTCAAACTCCACCCAGTGCAATCATATTACTACTTCTATGATAGTTAATATGCTGAACATATGTGAACAAATTGCAAAAGCTTAATGCCACTAAAACAGCTCTGACTTGTCGAGGCATAGAGTCTACAAGAATGTGCCCTGTGGCATCTGGCACCAAGACATCAGCAGCAGATCCTTTAAGTCCTGTAAGTTTCAAGGTGGAGCTAGCGTGTATTAGACTTATTCCAGGCCTCCCCACACCGGCTTGACCGGCTTGAGATCTAGGGAGTTTGGCGGCCAGCACCAACACTTTGAACTCTGTCATGTTCCTCAAACCATTCCCAAACATTGTGTACAGTGTGCCTTAATCTGCTAAAGGAGGCCACTGCCATTGGGGAACACCACTGCCCAGGAGTGCACCTGCTTTGCAACAATGTTTAGGTAGGTGGCACGTGTCAAAACTAATGCCCACATAAATGCCCAGACCCAGGGTTTTCCATCAGTACATTCCCCAGAGCATCACATACCACCGGTTTATCTTCTTCCCATAGTGCATCCATGTGCCATTTCTTCTCCAAGTAAACAGCACACACATGCTCGGCCATAAACATGATGTAAAAGAAAAAAGACCAGGCAAGCTTCTTTCATTGCTCCAAGGTCCGGTTCTGACGCTTGTGTGTCTATTGTCTATTTGTGCTTTCGACATTAGACAGGGGTTAGCATAGGCACTAACTGTCTGCGCAGCCATATATAGCAGGGACCAATGCACTGTGTTTTTTGAAATATTCCTTCCATAACAATCATTCAAAAAAATCTGTGTGCCACAGTAGCTCTTCTGTCGGCTTGGACCGCTGGTTTGTGGGTTTTCCCCTTCTCGTACCATGGTTGGTAAGTACTCACCACTGCTGACTGGGAGCACCCCACAAGCCTTGCTGTTTCGGAGATGCTACGACCCAGCCATGTGGCCATAATAATTTGGCACTTGTGAAAGTCTTCACATGCTGACTATGAAAACCAATTGTTTACTTTTAATCTAATATATTTGAGACCTTGACGTGCTGCTGTTACAGCATAATCAACATTCTTCACTTAATCTCTGAGTGGTCATAATGTTTTGGCACATTGGTGTATATACAGTACTATGCAGTTTTAAGCACTTGAGAAATCTGGGCAGTAAGAATATATTTGCTTGAATAGGGCCAAACGATTTGGGGAATATCCAAATGCGATTTTTTTCCACCCATATCATGATTACAATTTCAGTCACTTTAAAATGTATATATTCTTCACAGATTATCCCTTATCCCTTGTTTAATATAAATATATTTGTACATAGCAGAGAGGAATTTTTTTTCTCCCTCACATAGGTCCCTCCTGTCTCTAGATTTTGTGTATGTTTTGTGTATATTTAATATATTTCAGTTTCAGTATTTTCTTGTATTTTTATTTTTACTATGTTTACTTCTGTAGAGTGATTAGCTGAGCCTCGCCACAAGCATTTCAATGCTTTAATGTCCTGACATGTTGTGCAAATGACAAATAA